CATGAATAATTCTGAAATAAGTACAATTACATTTTTACCTAAAATTAAGTGTTATTAGGAGTTTAGTATGATTAAAAAAAAAAAAAAAAAAAAAGGGGAAAAATAATAACGAAAATGATAAAAAAAATAATAATGTTATATACTTAAAATTCAAAAATAATTAAAATACGAAAAGATTTTCAACATGAACGTACTCACATTTTTTGGACCAAATGATGTCGTAGGTTAGGAGTTACAGACTGGTGCCAAATTTTGGATCCAGAGGCAGGTTGTGGCATAGAACCTTGCACAACTGTTGATATCTGATTACCTACATCTCCTGAAAGACTACCAGATGAAGCCGTGCCACCAGATACCATATTCTTACCCGCAAGATTCATTTGCGCACCTTCAGCTGTACTGAACCCTTGAGAATCCTGGGTGTTTGAGCTTGGTGTAACTGCTCTAAGCTGGTTCTCTTGGGACTGTCCTTGTTGTTGTTGATTTGAAGCTAATACTCCCAAACTTTGCAAATCTTTCATAGCTAAAATCATAAACATAATTTAGTTATTGCATATCACACCAATTAATCCTAAAACTTACTTTTTTTAATTATGGTCTTTTATCAATTGTTAAACAATAGAATTGGATTTAATAGTTGATTCATAATCATTACGTCTGATCTTCCCTATAGCTAAAAACTATCAAATAAAAGTTCAAAGGTCAAATCCTTTTTAAATATCATTATTACTCAAGCTTATCTGTACAAGCTGCAGTAACATCTGAAAGTAAATGTTCTGAACCAAGTGTTAGATGTGGAAAAATAAAAGGAGAAACATGGAATACATGTATCAACTTCTTTCATAAAAATATAGCTTCCTAGAGTGAGAGGGTATAATACACACATTAACAATAGCCTTCCATTAATAGGAGGGCAACACAAACTAATTGCACTGTAACTCTCCTTATGCAACTGCACTAGAGATAACTTCATTTTTAGATGAGACAAGAATAAAATCTGGAAGGTTGAGTGGGATTGTGTAAGGAGGTGAATATCTATAGGAAATACATTTTCAGTGGTGGAGGGGCTAGTGCAAATTTTAAATCCAGATGAGCTCCCTTCAGAAAGCACACAAATGGAAAGCCCATGGAACATGACACCTAGTGGCAGGGGCTCCACAGGGGTACACTTATGGAAGACTGCATCCTGTCTTGACCAAAGTATACTCTTCACCTGAGAAGAAAGGGGAGAGATAAAAGAGCCTCCAGTGATACAGAGCTGGACAGAATTTGAATATGGCCAACTGAGCACCTGCACACAAGCAGTTGGTGAACCAATATGTGTAGTTTGTTTAGGGCATGATCAAACCATACGGTGTGTGCTCACCACAACTCTAATGAACAGGTTCTGGCTGCAGGAGGGTACATTAGCCGTGTGAGGGTGCCTCAAACTACAATGACAGTTTTGCCATCATGATTACTTTTCACCATATTGTGCTAAGCCCAACCAGTGAGGATTCTCCAAGGTCCACCACCTCAGAATCAAGAAACTGGTAAATGGAAAGAATCTCCTGTGCTCTACTCGAAAAATAGGAGAGAGAGAGAGAGAGGGGGGGGGGGAATTTTGTTGGGGAGACCCAAAGAAGTGCCTGGATCTTCACCTGACCACCAGTCAAAAAGGTCTTTCACTGGAAACAGATACAATGGGTAACTGCAAAACTTTATTTTTAAAAGCAGACGAGTATGACCCAAAGAAGAAGGTAGTCACTTCCCTAGTGCCAGTTTTTTGTCCAATGAGTATAAATGTTCACTGCATATGTATACAACAATTCTTCTTAATGTAAATAACTTGTATAAGTTTCCTGGTGTCAGGTGTGTCCCCTACCATCCCACTTGGAATTTTTTTTTTTTTTCATTTTTCTAAACAATCACTCTTTCTCCACTGATACCTCTGATCTGCATGGAACAGACTTTGCCTTCATGTGGATTTTTTTTCTTCACCATTTTCATCATGGTTGACTGTAAAGCATTGTTTCAAAGACCTCTACTGCTCAATTAACCTCTGTAAGCATTTTCCAAGAGACAGTCAGCATGTGCACACATGCTTCAGATTAGTTTGAGTCTCCACACTTTACTGTCAATATCCTTATTGCCATCAGCGGACAAGTTGTAACCCCTAGTTTCAACGTTACTCACAGTTCCCTCACTTGCACTGTTGGTCATTCCTCAAACTACTGCAAAGGTTTTGGTTCTAGAACATCTGTATCTTTTAGCAATTTCCAAACCCAGAAACATTTTGGTAAAACATTTTGAAGCATGTGCAGAAATCACCAAAGGAAGATTGTGTTCCACAATGAAGAAGGTGAATAAACATTCCACTCCGATCACATCTTTTTCTGATTTGGTATACGGTTATACAAAAACAAGTCCAGTTTATTAATTCCAGATGCCCTCAAACAATTTAGCTGGTGTTTAATAGTGTTGAGATGTTTTTTGATGCCATTTTTACGTCTGTGAGCATGGGAAAAATCACATACACGAACTGCATATCTTGTATATTTCATACCTTTTAAGGATAATACAGTATCATTTAACTTTTTTGAATACTCATGCTTAAACTTCAACTCACTATAAAATTTTCTTTTCTTTGTTGGAGTCATTGAGAATGAAGTAGAATCATGTTTTTTGTCATTTTCCTCTCAAAAAATGATCAGCACACCCTAGATGCTTACTACTTCTTTCAATAGACTGTTTTAAGCATTTGTAAAATTGAGACACAAAGCGTGCGGAGCAGTGAATTATTTCTGGAAAAATATTAGTAGGAAAATAGGTTGGTCAAAAAAAATTCCGGAATTTTGCATAAAATAAAACAATTTCTACAAGCATAAAATGGAAAAAAATATATCTGCCCAATTATGCCTAAATTGTAAAGAGTTAGCATGTCAGAAAAAGGTACTATCTAAACAACTCTACAATGAGTATCACAGGGCTAAATTTTAACAGTTGTCAGAGATGACTAAATTCCTCCTTGGATGACCAACATAAACCCCCAATGGACAACTACCTCCCTGGGATAGACCCTTACTCAAAACAGCATCACAGTCTACTGTACACTTATCCATGCCCACACTAAACATGCAACACCAACTATGATCTTCGACCAAAATCATTGGTAAATTCCCCATCTATGAACTCAAAAAATTTGACTCCTCACAAAAATACCTTTTAGTCCATTTATTTTGTTCAAAAACAGATTGTACTTTGGACAAGAGAAATATTGGAGCAATCCACCAAGAGGCTGAAAACATTAGAAAAAGTTTGCTTTTGTGATTGGCTAATAATGCTGGTTTAGTCATTAAACTTTCTATTGTGGACAAGCTGTGCCTCTGTGCTGCTATACGAATGTAAATTTTGTATGGAGTTCAACCGAGCATGAATAGCCATGTGTGGTAACACAGTACAGTGTATACAGCTCAGTTATTTACATTACCATACATTGTATTATGTGATGTTTGTATGCATATATACGAGTGGACAAGAATTTGCAACGAAAACGAATGCTAATAACATATTTAGCGAGATTAATTTCTAGTATACATGCTTACGACAATATAACCAACATGGCTATCTCAACTTCTTACCAATGAAACTCTGGTAGGAACTAAAACAATCAAATTTACAAAATCACATTCAATATTTTCAACATTAATTATCACAGTTGAAATGTTGATCCCTTTTGGTTATGAACGTATAGGCCTAAGGTTAACATTAGACATGATCAACTGAGTCTACGAAATACAGAAAGCCTAGTTACCATGAGAAAAGCAGGAAAATCCAGAATTAAACAGAACATAATACAGATAACTGTAAACAAAATTTTATTAAAGTTTTGATCAGTAAGAATAACAATAAATAAAATAAGGCTAGCTTTGACTCTCTCCAGGTCAATACAAGATACAAATATGAACAACAATATATATCAGTGGTATATGTGTGTGTGTGTGTGTGTGTGTGTGTGTGTGTGTGTGTGTGTGTGTGTGTGTGTGTGTGTGTGTGTGTGTGTGTGTAGTGTAGTGT